CAGGGGCATGAGGGGAATGGGGGCGCAGAGGGTGGTGAGGGGGTGGGCATCATGGAAAAGAGGGCAAAGGAGGTAGGGGCAGTGAGGGAAGGGGGAGGAAACAGGAGGGTGCAGGAGTAAGAGAAGGTGCAAGTGCCAGGGGATTCTGGGGTGAAGCAGAAGGGCAGACACCTGCAGGGGAGGGACCAGCACCAGAGGAGAGAGGCGGGGCAGGTTTGTAGAGGGAGGTGTTAGAAGAGGGGATGAGGAGGGGTAGCTCACATGATCGGAGTGGGGTACTGAAGGAGTGGGCACAGGGAGGAGAGAAGGACTGGTGGAGGGGGCCAGGTCGCAGGAGGGCTGAGGTGAGTGAGAAGGGCAGGAGTCAGGACAGCAGAGGAGGGTGAGGAGTTGGGAGGCAGCAGGCACCAGGGGAGCTGATGGAACAAGGGGAGGAGACACGTGAGCAGAGAGAAAAGGTAAAGGTTTAAAAATATTTACTAATAACTTGGGTGCCACAGTGGCATATCCAAACAAGCCACAGGAACTCAGTGCTGGTGTACGACACAAAATTCATTTTGCTCATGCGAGGAAACTCTTAGGCTATGTCTACACTGGCGGTTTCTTGCGTAAGAACACGTCCACACTACCATGTGCGAGCTGTGTTTTTGCACAAGAGCATCTACGGCAGTGTGAACGCTCTCTTGCCCAAGAAAGTGCTAATGACCATTTTAGCCATATGGCTTTCTTGTGCAAGAAATTCATGTTGCCTGTCCACACTGGCCTCTTGCACAAGAACACTTGCGCAAAAGAGCTTATTCCTGAGCAGGAGCATCATATTTCTTGCGCAAGAACACACGGCCAGTGTAGACAGGAAGCAAGTTTTTGCACCAGAGTGGCTGCTTTGGCGCAAAATAGCGCCAGTGTAGACACAGCCAATGGGAGGGAGGGAGGGGGGCAGGGGCAGGGAATGGGAGGGAGGCAGGGGCAGGGAATCAGTGCTGGCTCAGCATGTCTGCATGGTTTGGGGGAAGGTGCAGGGAAATTGAGCTGAGCTGGGTTGCAGAGTGGGGAGGTCCAGGGAGCTGGGCTGGGCTGGGCTGCAGGGTAGAGATGTGTGTGTGGGTGAGCTCACAGCTCAGTTTGGCTGCAGGAGGAGGGAGGTGCCGGGAACCGGGGCTAGACTCAAGGGGAGGGAGGGGCAGGGAATCGGCGCTTGGCTCAGCAATTTTGCGGGGCCTTGGGAGAGGTGCAGGGAAACGGGGCTCAGTGTGCTGTGGGGGAGGCATGCAGGGAACCAGTGCAGGGCTCAGCTGGGCTGAGGTGGATGGGGGAGGGCATACGGAACAGATGGGCAATTCAGCTGGGCTGAGGGGCTGCAGGGAACTGGTGCTGTACTCCCTTGGATTGTGGGGCATGCTTTTGGGGGAGATGTAGGGGACCAGCAGGGGTGGGCAGCTCAGTTGGGTTGCAGGGGATAGAGGTGCAAAGAAGCCTAGTGGGGAGGGGAGTGGAACCAGGAGCCCTGAAATGACCTCCCCTGGTCCAAAAATCCCTCATCTGGGACCAGTCAGGTCCAGAGGGTGCCAGATCAGGGAGGTCCAACTCCTACCCAAGTCCCCTCCTTGTACCCTTCCCTCGTAGTCAGACACCCTACCCCCAATCTGCTCCTGCTCCCTCCCTCTGGCCAGACACCCTACATCCAGCCTGCTTCTGCACTCTATCTACCACCCAGACCTTGCTCTCTTCCGCCCCCCACCTCCCTCCCAGAATCTATATCCCATCCCTATCCCGTTCCTTGGCAGCCCTGCCATCCACCGTAGCACTTAGCACCACCCTGTCCCTGGCCCCAACACCCTGCCATCTACGCTAGCACCCTGCCATCTACCTGTTCCTTGTCCCAGCATCCTGCCAGTCACCCTAGTGCCCAGCAGGACCATGTCCCTAACCCCAGCACCCTGCCACCTGCCTGCCCCAGCACCCCGCCACCTGAGTCAGCATCCTTCCACCCAGCAGCACCCTCTCAGCCCCAGCACCCACTTTCACTCTGTCCCCTGCCCCCACCAGCACATTTGGGACCACATTAGTGAGGCTTGGGTTTTTTTGGAGAGTTGTTGGGGTTTTCTTTTGCATCTTACTTGTGTGGCCCCAACTGACTTTTCTGTGGGTCAGTGACCCTTGACTCAAAACAGGTTCTTCACCCCTCTATAAATAAAGACAATGCTAAAACCTTGTGAGTTTGACATATTTTATTTAAAAATGAAGCCTGGCCAACAAGCCCCCAATTGGGGCCAAACCCCCATCTAATTAGAGCATCATAACACTCCTGCACCACCTGAACCCCAAATCTGAGCCTATCATACACTGGGAACCCCCTGTCCTGAGCCGCTTAATTCCCAGACTCCTGCATCCTCAGTCTTCTGCCACAACACTCCTGCACCATCCACACATCACTAATCTGTGTCTTGAGCCCATCATACTCACAACCTTCTTGCCCTGAGTCCCTCACATATCCAGTCCAAACTCCTGTACCCCCACATCCATGGCTTGCTCAATACCCCAGCCTTCCACCTGAGCCCAACACTCCCGAGTCTGGAGCCCCCTCCCCGAGCCAACATCCCCTTCTCCTGCATCCAAATTCCGTCCCAGAGCTTGTACTTCTCACCCCTTCCCACACCCAAATCCTTCATTCCCACCCCACACCACCTGTCTCAACCTAGTGAGAGTGTATAAGGGCTGGGGATAGCAAGTGATGGAGAGGAGGGGAACAGAGAGGATGAGGCCTCAAGGAAGGAGTGGGGAGTCTTGGAGACTTCCCTCAGCAACCTAGGGGCACTCATCTGAAGGGCAGAACCCGTTACAGTCCCCTTTTAGTATAGACCTGGCCTTAGAGAGAAGTAGACCTGTCAGTGACTGATGGGGAGGGCATGGTCAGCTATACCTCACAGTTGCTCATTACTTTTATAGCTTCAGGAAAGATTGTGAGAATTTCTCTTTCAGATTGTGTGTATCTGTATCTATGTGTGTCTTTGTATATATGGTTACGTGTTTATACTGCACACTTGTACCACCAAGACCAAAAACACAGCTAGAGAATGCAACTCTTTGACCAAAATGATTATTTTATTTTATTTTATTTTATTTTATTTTATTTTAATTTTGGGGGGACAAATTTGCATTTTGTAGTTATTTCCAGTCCTGCGAATGTAAGTGGGTGGTTCTTTTCTACTGCTGAGGCACCATCAGTGTCCTTCTTCCTCCTCCAGCTTTGGGCCTTCCTCCACATAGTCACAGAATGCAGCACATAGAAGAAGGGGAAAGCGCAAATGTCATGTTTTCTCTACCCTGCTTGTGGAATGCCTGGATGGAGATGACTGTCTTCTGTTAGTTAGAAGCCATAAACATCTCTGACAGCTGGGCAAAGTCCTTCAGAGTTCCTCACCAAGCCAGGAGTGGCATATCTAGACCCAGACCAGTAGAAACATAGGCTCCCTCCTCTTGTGCCAAAGGTCTGTGGGGGAGGGGGAGGGGGGGAAGCGGGTTTAAAAAAAGCCCATCAAAACATTAAGACAAACATTTTGCCTTGGGCAGTGGCATGAAGGAGCACAGCTGCAAACATGGTCCAAGCTGATCATTCATTGCTTTTCCTCACTGGTGCCCAAGGCAGAAAAGTACTCAGGTGGATTCAAAGAAGATGTTAAGGGAACAAGCAGCATAGAATCATAGAGTACTAGGACTGGAAGGGATCTTGAGAGGTCATCGAGTCCAGTCCCCTGCCCCCATGGCAGGACCAAATACTGTCTAGACCATCCTTGATAGACATTTATCTAACCTGCTCTTAAATATCTCCAGAGATGGAGATTCCACAACCTCCCTGGGCAATTTATTCCAGTGTTTGACTACCCTGACAGTTAGGAACTTTTTCCTAATGTCCAACCTAAACCTCCCTTGCTGCAGTTTAAGCCCATTGCTTCTTGTTCTATCCTCAGAGGCCAAGATGAACAAGTTTTCTCCCTCTTCCTTATGACACCCTTTTAGGTACCTGAAAACGGCTATCCTGTCCCCCCTCAATCTTCTCTTTTCTAAACTAAACAAACCCAATTCTTTCAGCCTTCCTTCATAGGTCATGTTCTCTAGACCTTTAATCATTCTTGTTGCTCTTCTCTAGACCCTCTCCAATTTCTCCACATCTTTCTTGAAATGCGGTGCCCAGAACTGGACACAATACTCCAGCTGAGGCCTAACCAGCACAGAGTAGAGCGGACGAATGACTTCTCGTGTCTTGCTCACAACACACCTGTTAATACATCCCAGAATCATGTTTGCTTTCTTTGCAACAGCATCACACTGCTGACTCATATTCAGCTTGTGGTCCACTATAACCCCTAGTTCCCTTTCTGCCGTACTCCTTCCTAGACATTGCTTCCCATTCTGTATGTATTAAACTGATTGTTCCTTCCTAAGTGAAGCACTTTGCATTTGTCTTTATTAAACTTCATCCTGTTTACCTCAGACCATTTCTCCAATTTGTCCA